TAGGCTGGAGAGGGGCAGAGAACAGTTCTCAGTGGAAACACGCTTAAGGCCTCTGTGATTTATTAAGAGCTACTATCTATCAAGCTGTGTGTGGGGTGCTTAGAGAATAGGAAAAAGTAATCTTGAGGAAGCTTAAATTCTACTAGCCCCAAAGCAAATTTCCTAAGCAGTCTACAGATGTTAGTAAAAGGGATGCCAGTGCTTGCAATTCAGACAGAAGACAGTGAGTCAAGCACATAGTAATTCACTATCATTGTCTAAACTTTCCTCTTAGGGCTGTCCTCTCTCCAAGGGCCACTGGTTGTATCCCTGTTCCCCCCCGCCGAGGCTTTGCAGGGGTGAGGGAATTGTGCCATGTTCCTCCACTGCCCAGGACTTGGTTCTACCATCTCTGCATCTTCCCTGCCCCATGCCCTACAGTTATCTTGGGCATCCAAGCACTCACTCCTTACAGTTGCTTCTGCAGTGATTCCAGAGAGACACATGAAAGCAACCTTTCCAGGATCGTATTTTACTGAACTCCTGTGCAGACAGGAAAACAGTTATGGCAATGAGGCGCCATCATTTGTATTCATTTCCCTGTCCCCACTGGCCACAAACCTGGGCCCAGCATCACGCTGTACGCCAGCCCAAGTGGGCCCAGCAGCACACAGAAAAGGACTGCAACTCCATCTGCTGGCTTGACAGCAGCTTCAGATCACAGCCTTTGAATTCATTGCAAGGCAAGCTCTGGCTCTGAACCGGAAGACCAAGAAGACTTTTCATCATGATAAAGCAAAGATATTCAGCCATTTTGTCAAAGGCGATGACATCTACCCCTCCCACCTTAAACCCATAGACAAAGATACAAATACACCGGGGAAACACTGAGCGAAGGATTACTGATCTCTCTGACAGAAGTTGGGGAAGGCAGCCCAGCAGCCGCTGGCTATGCTCTGCATAAGCATTGCTTTGGGGACTATAATAGAGACCTGCATATAACAAGAGGACAGCTCCAAACCAAGGTGGGGGTGGGATTAGAAAAACACTGATGAGGCTGGCCGCAGTGGCTCACACCTATAATCCCAGCACTTTGGGAGGCCGAGGTGGGAGGATCATCTGAGGTCAGGAGATTGAGACCAGCCTGACCAATGTGGAGAAACCCCATCTCTACTAAAAGTACAAAATTAGCCAAGTGTGGTGGCACATGCCTGTAATCCCAGCTCCTTGGGAGGCTGAGGCAGGAGAATCACTTGAACCCGGGAGGTGGAGGTTGTGGTGAGCCAAGATCTCGCCATTGCACTCCAGCCTGGGCAACAAGAGCGAAACTCCATCACAAAATAAAAAAAGGAAAAACACTGATGAAATTAGAGTTTTCTTCTTTCCATCATGCTCTTCACCTCTACTTGCCTTCTTTATGAAAGAGGCTTCCTCTGTAGATTACGTAACTATTCCTGAGGGCCTGTGGTCCATCCAGAGTCATCTTTACTCTCAAGATTTCTTATTGCTCTTACTGAGCAAGGAAAGGATGAAGGCCTACTTTAGAGATGAGAACAATTAAACTTCCTTGATAGAAGACAGGAGAACAATGATATTACCTACTTAGACTCAGAAAATAATCACTTGGTTCCTGAAATCCCTTGTTTGACGACATCATATTATTTGGAAATTTCAGTAAGGCTCCAATATGTAGTATGCATGTCAAACCAAAGTGAGGTGCCAGCAATGATGCAGTTTTTTATAGGAAACAGTTAACAATCACTTACGGCACTCTCCAACTCTCACCCCCTATCAAGGGGAAAAAAGAAGTTGTTGGATATTAAGAGAATGTTTCTGAAAAGGATTTATTTGATGCAAAGTATTGGTGTGCTGTGGGTACCCCCTCCAAAAGAAAGAGGGTCCCTGTGTTTCACTACAAGCCTAATGAGAAGGGCTTGAAAGAGATTCCTGGGAGAGTTTGATATGTGTCTTCTCCTGCAGTTAGCGGGGCAGAGTGGTCTAATTTCTGACTCCAGCCCAAAAAATGTAGAAGCCACCATATGTGCTAGCAGCTGCTTTGTGATGCTGGGATTTGTTCGGAGCTTGTGTGGGCAAAGAACCTGTTTCTCACAGACCTGAGGTGGGGCACATACATAGGGGGATGGTTTGGAGAGCATTTTAGATCCTGACCAACAGGAATATCAGAGAGTAAACAGGCCTGAGCAGAAGAGAAACTGGAAATCGACTGTTACATCATGAGGGGCCAAAGAGGGCGAAAGCAACTGACAGGGCGGGGTGCACTTGCCCAGGCCACTGGGAACTGCAGCAGCAGCAGCAGCAGAGTGTGTATATGTGTGTTTGTGTGTGTGTGTGCACACACACACGCACACACAGAAATCTGAAGAACCCACAAAAGTGCTTTGGGAGAAAGCTAGATTTAAACACTGGCCACATGGAAGATGGGAGAGTGCAAAGCCAGCTTTGACATGAGACAAGTACCATATTTTCTGTCGCCTTTTACATTCTTGTGCTCTAATTCTGGAAGGATCAGAAACTTCAGAGGAGAAAGACAACACCCTTTCTTTTCGCTTGCAGCAGACCCCAGATAGGAAGGACAAGTAGCTTAAGCTTCAAAAAAAAAAAAAAGAAAGAAAAAGAAAAAGAAACAGAAACAAAAATTGATAATACCCAGCTGAACATTTTAAGTGCCTAATTGAAATCATGTTTTACTACGTACAGTGGCTATAAGGCTTCCCAACATCTCCAAGGGATCCTGAAAAGTGTCTGGGAGCAGACTTAGGACCAACACTACAAAGCAGGTTTAAAGAAACAGTGGGGCTGGGATCAGTGGTTTATTTCTGTAATCCCAGAACTTTGGTAGGCTGAGGCAGGCGGATCACTAAGTCAAGAAATCAAGACCATCCTGGCCAATGTGGTGAAACTCCGTCTCTACTAAAAAATACAAACATTAGCTGGGTGTGGTGGTGTGCGCCTGTAGTCCCAGCTACTCAGGAAGCTGCGGCAGGAGAATTGCTTGAAATGAAAGGCAGTGCCTGCAGCAAGCTACAGTGGGGCCAGGTGCAATGGCTCAGGTTTGTAATCCCAGCACTTTGGAAGGCCGAGGTGGGTGGATTGCTTGAGGTCAGGAGTTCAACCAGCCTGGCCAACACAGTGAAATTCCTCCTCTACTAAAAAAATTAATAAATAAACAAAAATTAGCCGGGCGTGGTGGCAGTCACCTGCAATCCCAGCTACTCAGGAGGATGAGGCAGGAGAATCGCTTGAACCCGGGAGGAGAGGTTGCAGTGAGCCCAAGATCACACCACTGCACTCCACCCTGGACGACACAGTGAGACTCTGTCTAAAAAAAAAAGAGGCCAGGCACGGTGGCTCAAGCCTGTAATCCCAGCACTTTGGAAGTCGAGGCGGGCAAATTATGAGGTCAGGAGTTCGAGACCAGCCTGACCAACATGGTGAAACCCTGTCTCTACCAAAAACACAAAAATTAGCTGGGCATGGTGCTGTGCACCTGTAATCCCAGCTACTCGGGAGGCTGAGGCAGGAGAATCGCTTGAACCCGGGAGGTGGAGGTTGCAGTGAGCCAAGAGCACACCATTGTACTCCAGCCTGGGTGACAGAGCAAGAATCCGTCTCAAAAAAAAAAAAAAAGGAAGAAACAGTGGGAGCCTAAAACAAAGTTTCTGTTATGATTATACCCCATCAGTCCTGCTTGTCACAGTTCCAGTTGCAGTTATAAAAGTTGTTCTTCAACCTTCATTTTTAAAATAATTAAAACACACACCAAAGGACTCATAAAAAGAGGAGCTATTGTCAGAGCTAACGGTTCTCCTTGGCTTAACAATGCTTCAATGTCCTTGTGGAAAATGAAGCTTCAAGCTCTGCCCACTTCTCTTTATTCTTCATTTCCTGAAGCCTCTCTCTGCCCTCCTCCTGTTACTCTGCAGTATATAGCACAGCTCTGAGCATAGCCACTTTTAACAACACCCCAAAACTTCCACAGTCCTGACCCTCACCCTGCCCGTCTTCAGGAATACCATAAGGACTTGGAAGTCATCTCAGTTGAGTTTCATAGCCTCCCCCATGGTAACACTTACTTCCACCTTCTCAATTTTACCTCTTCATTCTTTTCTTTATTTTAGGCGGAGTCTTACTCTGTTGCCCAGGCTGGAGTGCAGCGGCATGATCTTGGCTCACTGCAACCTCTGCCTCCCAGGCTCAAGTGATTCTCCTGCCTCAGCTTCCTTAGTAGCTGGGACTACAGCTACTAAGGAAGCTGAGGCAGGAGAATTTTTTTTTTTTTTTTTTGAGACAGAGTTTTGCTCTTGTTACCCAGGCTGGAGTGCAATGGCACGATCTCGGCTCACTGCAACCTCCTCCTCCAAGGTTCAAGCAATTCTCCTGCCTCAGCCTCCCGAGCAGCTGGGACCACAGGCGCACGCCATCATGCCCAGCCAATTTTTGTATTTTTAGTAGAGACGGTGTTTCACCACGTTGACCAGGATGGTATCCATCTCTTGATCTCGTGATCCACCCGCCTCGGCCTCCCAAAATGCTGCGATTATAGGCATGAGCCACTGCGCCTGGCCTCGTATTTGTATTTTTAGTAGAGAAGAGTTTCATAATGTTGGCCAGGCTGGTCTCAAATTTCTGACCTCAGGTGATCTGCCCACCTTGGCCTCCCAATACCTCCTCATGCTTTCCCTACAGTTGGGGGATGAGATACATACACTCGCACACACATACAAAACACCATACAAAGAAAATTCTATACATAGATTCTAGCCCCTTAGAAATGTACAACTTAAGGCCGGGCGCGGTGGCTCATGCCTGTAATCCCAGCACTTTGGGAGGCCGAGGAGGGTGGATCACGAGGTCAAGAGATCGAGACCATCCTGGCCGATACCGTGAAACCCCGTCTCGAAAAAAAAAAAAAAAAGAAATGTACAACTTAAGACAGTTAACATTAAACAGATAAGCATAAACAAATAAACAACAGAAAAACAACATTAAACCAATACATGGTGCTCGCTTTGGCAGCACATATACCGAAAAATTGGAACTATACAGAGAAGATTAGCATGGCCCCTGCTCAAGGATGACATGTAAACTCGTCAAGTGTTCCATAAAAAACAAATACATGAATGAACAGCAGGTCAACTTCATAACTGAGATGGCAAGCAGGCGGCCAGTTGATGAATGTTTACTGAACAGCTCCTAGGTGTCAGGTGACTGGGCTAGGTTTTGGTAATAAAAATTTGAACAAAACAGACACAGTCACTGCACACATGGAGATTCAAAATACTAGAGAAGATAAATACTAAACAATTTTTTACTAAAATATAGTTTATAGGCCAGGTGCAGTGGCTCACACCTGTAATCCCAGCACTTTGGGAGGCCAAGGTGGGCGGATCACCTGAGGTCAAGAGTTCGAGACCAGCCTGGCCAATGTGGCAAAACCCCATCTGTACTAAAAATACAAAAATTAGCCAGGCATGGTGGCAGGTGCCTGTAATCTCGGCTACTCAGGAAGCTGAGGCAGGAAAATCACTTGAACCCAGAAGGCAGAGTTTGCAGCAAGCCAAGATTGTGCCACTGCACTCTAGCCTGGGCAACAGAGTGGGACTCCATCTCAAAAAAAAAAAAAAAAAAAAAAAAGGGGTAAACAGTGCTGTGGAAGATAATATGCAGGTCTGGTCTTGGCCTTAGGAGACTAATCTATTCTGGGGGCTGGAGAAGCTTGCCTAAAAAAATGACATTTATATTGGGACCTGAAGGCTAAATAGGGTTAGACAAAGGGCTAGCAGAGAGAAAATGATCTAGGGAGAAGTGAGGGCCTATGGAAGTGCAGAAGCAACACTTTCAAGGACCCAAAAGAAGGCCCGTGTTGCTGGAGTGAATCTATCAAGGAGGGGTTGCCGATAGAAGGAGGTTGAAGGGACCAGCAGGAAGCTGGGAGATGGTTTTCTTTTTTAAGAGAAGAAATCTCACCATGTCACCCAGGTTGGAGTGCAGTGGCAATTCACAGGCACACCATCATCAAACACTACAGCCTTGAACTCCTGGGCTCAAGGGATCCTCTTCTCACCACCCCAAGTGGCTTGAACTACAGATGTGCACCACCACACCCAACTCTGCGGGATTTTTTTTTTTTTTTTGAGATGGAGTTTCACTCCTGCCATCCAGGCTGGAGTGCAATGGCACGATCTCAGCTCACTGCAACCTCCGCCTCCCAGGTTCAAGTGATTCTCCTACCTGAGCCTCCCGAGTAGCTGGAATTACAGGCGTGTGCTACCATGCCTGGCTAATTTTTGTATTTTTAGTAGAGACGGGGTTTTACCACATTGGCCAGGCTTGAACTCCCGACCTCAGGTGATCCGCTCTCCTCGGCCTTTCAAAGCGCTGGGATTACGGCATGAGCCACCTCGCCCAGCCTCTGGGGGATTTTAAATGTTGATTAAGAACAAGCAAGTGGGCCAGGTACAGCAGCTCATGCCTGTAATCCCAGCACTTTGGGAGGCAGAGGTTGGTGGATCACCTGAGGTCAGGAGTTCAAGACCAGCCTGGTCAACATAGCAAAATGCTGTCTCTACTAAAAATACAAACATTAGCTGGGCATGGTGGCCAGCTCCTATAGTCCCAGCTACTCTGGAGGCTGAGGCAGGAGAATTGTTTGTATCTGGGAAGCAGAGATTGCAGCAAGCCAAGATTGCACCCTGCACTCCAGCCTGGGCCACAGAGTGAGATTCCATCTCCCAAACAAAACAAAACAAAACAAAAAAACAAGCAAGCGAAAAGTATAGAATCAAAGACTCACAGGATTGGCAGTCACAGGATTTAAAGGTCATCTAGTCCCACCACCCAGATGATGCTGGTATCCCCTCTGCTCATTCTCTATCACCAGATCAATACAAATGGAGGCCAGAGAGGCACTGGCATGAGGTCATAGCAGGCTGAGGTAAGGGAGTACCCCTGAAGCCCCAAAGGCTGAGGCAGGAGGATTTTGGGGTTCCGTTTCTCTGACCTGAGTATGTGTTGGAGCTGGTCTCTGGTCAAACTGCCTATTTGTATGAGGACACTCTCACAGGATCAGCCAAGGAAAAGCAGATAACAACCATTCGTGTTTATTAACCATTGGAAGGCTCATTGGAAGGCTAATTGCTTTGAGCAGGTGTCAGGGAGGTTGATTTGTTCAAGAGGACCTGGCTAGTTTGTATTCGTGACAGAGAAACCTATTGTTGAGGGCTGGGCAAGACAGCCTGTGAAGAAGCCAAAGGAGGGCACAGCCAGCCTGACCAGCACCCAGAGGAGCTCTGGCCCATGGACTCTGATCAATGGAATTTGTTCATCATTATCAGGGCAAATGCTTCTTCCTGCGCTGGCAGCAGGACAAACAGGCTACTCCTTGGTGATTCAAACCAGGGAAACACTCATGATTATACGGCAATAATGAACCTGGCCCCTTCCTCCCTTCATCTTCGTGATTCTCACTGTGTGGCAGGGCTGGGTATGCTCAGAAAGAGTCCTGTGTCCATGTCATTATTGAAACTAATCAACATTTAGTAAGTGTCCCCCACACTACAAAAAGCCCTGTGGTAGTTCAGGATACAAGAAAGTGTAGTCTCTGCACCTGAGAGGTTCACAAATCAAAATGAGGAATGTAGAAACATGCACTGAAAGGTAAACCATAACCAATACATGGCCGCAGTGATAGGGGTTTGGGATTTAAAAGGCCATCAAAAGGCCGGGTGCAGTGTCCCACACCTATAATCTCAGCACTTTGGGAGGCAGAGACAGGAGGATCCCTTGAGCCCAGGAGTTTGAGACCAGCCTGGGTGACAGAGCGAGACCCTGTTTCTACCAAAAAAAAAAATATTTTTTGCAGGGGAGGAACAGGGTCTCGCTCTGCCACCTAGGCCGGAGTGCAAGTGGCGCAATCTCTGCTCACTACAGCCTCCACCTCCCAGGTTCAAGTGATTCCCCTGCCTCAGCCTCCCAAGTAGCCAGGAGGCATGTGACACCATATCAGCTTTTTATTCCTTTTTTTTTT